ATTTTTTTTTATACCCTCACTTGGATTTTACTTGGAACACTATCTTGGCTGTTAGGCAAGCATCCCTGCTTCCATGGGGCAAGGGAAGGCAGGTGCTGCACTGTTTGGCCATCCCTGACTGGGATGGAATAATGGAAAACCTGGCTCAGGAGTCAATAACCATTCCTTCTGGTTGCAGCTGGGTCCACGTCTAGATGCCTCCACTATTGGACACGTCTGACCGCATCATTCTAGGTCCTCGCTGTGTCTGCATCTCTTGTCTTGAGGTCAGAGTCCTTGAGTGAAAACTAGGCCATGTGTCTATAGCCTGGCTTCAGTCACGGGGGGGGGGGGGTTGGTTCTAACCCCCACCAACACACAGTGGGAACTTCTCTCCAGATAGGGAAGGTGTGCATATTTAGTGCAGAAAACTAAAATGAAAACATCTTCATTAAGAACATGTAAGTCAGATGAAAGAACAAAAGTCATACAGCCGTCTCTGCTTTCTAAGGAGAACTTGATGGGTTATCACTTCTTGATTAGAAATGAAAACTCAAAACAAAGAGGCAGAGAAAGCAGACAAAGAGACCTTCTCCTTGAAAGAGGGTACCTTTCAAAAAGGCTTTGTAACATCCATCATGTTTAGTAGTGAGATTTTAGAAGCAGTTCCAGTGTACCAGGAAGAGAAGGACATAGAGCATCCTGTGTTCTCACAGAAGCCAGTAACTAAGGTCCTTTTCAGTGCAATAAGAAAAGAGAGGTGGGTAATCAGAGGTGTTTTATGAAGAAAGAACAAGAATTCTTTTATTTTAAATTTGGGACAGGATTTCACTGTGAATCGATGGCTGGCCTGAAACTCTCCATGTAGAGCAGACTGGTCTTGAATCCAGAGATTAGCCTGTCTCTCCGTAGGGTGTGCGTCACCACTCCTGTCCAAGAACAGAATTCTTAGAGTTGAACAGGATGGCTGTGGGTAAAACTAATGTCAACATATGAGCTGTTCCTTAGGACATTAACCAAGCTGTAGCCAATCAGAATGATAACAGCCATATCATGGTAACGACCCAAGAATAAGCCTGGCGAGCTTTCTGTTTCAACACAACAGATTGCTACAGGTATGGTGGCTTGAGTGTGAACCTCTTACTGCCTCCCGGTGCCGTCGTCAGAGTCCAGGAGCACCAGACACAGTATCTGTCTCCTGGCCTCTTAGCTGAGAACTCTGCAGAAGAGTCCGCTCTTTTGAGTCTGGCTACTGGCAGAAGCTCAGTTTTGCCACTATGGCAATAGTTCTTTCCTTATTGGCTGTCAGCTAGAGGCTGCTTCAGCTCCTGAGGGCGCTTACGGAGTGTATTACTTTTCTAGTTATCAGGGCAAAAAAGCCAGAAAAGGCAACTTAAAATGGGAAGGCCGTGCTTCAGAAGAGACGTGGTCCGTCTCATCAGGAAAGGCATGCATGAGATGGCTGGCCACATCACGTCCTCAGTCAGTGCGCTGGTCTAGTTTTGTCCTCTGGGAAGAGGGAATACATCAGCTTGGCCTGTGTACAAGTCTGTGGGGATACTTTCTTGGTTGATGCGGAAGGCCCAGCCAACTGTGGTGGTGCTGACCCTGGGCAGGAGGCCATGGGTTGTATAGGAAATCACTCAGCAGGCCGTGAGCAAGTCAGTAAGCAGCTTTTCTCTGTCATCTCGATTTTAGTTCCTGCCTTGGCTTCCCTCAGTGATGGAGTGTGATCAGAATGTGCAAGCCTGTTAGAGCCTCTCCTCTCCAAGTTGCTTGTGGTCAGTGTTTAATCACAGAAATGGAAGACAAATGAAGACAGTCAGAAAATGGGGTGGGGTGGGGAGGAGGCTGCTGGTGCACAGCTTTCTCTCCTTCACTCGGTGAAAGACCCAAGTCCTGGATGTATGAGGCTTTGCTTTTCAGTTTAACCTTCCTGACCTCGCACTCACAGACACGCCCAGGTTTCCTATGGTCATTTTAAATCCAGCCACACACAGCTTCTCAGACCGTCCTCTCTGTCTTTCAAGTTGTGCTACAGCGCTGACAGGAAAGGTTTCCCCAGTGCAGCTGCCTCAGTTCTGAGGGAAGAGGTCTAGGATACCACAAAGTCACACCGTACAAGAGATTCACTGGGAAAGACAAGAGGGGGGCTGCCTCTGCTTGGGTGAGAACCTGCAGGGAACTGAGCAGGGGACAGGCTTATGCAGGGTTTCCTGGAGGCAGAGTTTTCCAGGGTGAAGATGCCCAGGATGGGGATTGGTGGGATTTCAAGTCTTCTGCTTGGGACAAGCTCAGGCACTGGTGGCATTTTGAGCTCAGGGATTGGTGTTTTTTTTGTTGTTTTTTTTTTTTTTGTTTTTATTAAAGATTTCTGTCTCTTCCCCGCCACAGCCTCCCATTTCCCTCCCCCTCCCCCTCCCCCAATCAAGTCCCCCTCCCTCGTTAGCCCAAAAAGCAATCAAGTTTCCCTGCCCTGTGGGAAGTCCAAGGATGGTGGTTTTTTTTTGAGCTCAAGAATTGGTGGGTGTTCGAAACTTGGAAGCGAGCTTGGACTTTTTACCCGACACAAGTGGAGTCCTTAAGCACGTGTCTTTCTCTTCTGCTAGAGTAACTGCTTTGCGTGTTGTACACTAACTCACCAGTGGTGATTTCTTTGTCTCGTGGTCCCTGTACCATCTAACACACAGTGACAGGGTGACATCATGTTGAGAGGTTCCGGAGGGGATGACAGGATATCTTTTCTTGGGAAGAGAATTCTATAATTTTGCCACAAAGCATAGCTAAAATTTTGTAAGATTATATGTATAAATATGTCCTAGTTCATGTTACTATTGCTATGATGAACACCATGACCCAAAACGAGTTGGGAAGGATGGGTTTATTTCTCTTATGCTTCCATCGTATGTAGTCCATCCCTGAAGGAAGTCTGACAGGCGCTCAAACAGGGCAGGAACCTAGAAGCAAGAAGGGTGTTGCTTACTGGTGCAGCCTTTTTTTTTTTTCTTATTTTTTTTCCATTTGATATTTTTTTGCTTCTTTGTCAAAAATCAGGTGTTCAAAGATGTGTGGATTGATATGCCTTTTTTCCCCCTTAAATAGAACTCAGGACTATGAGAAATGGGCCCTCCCCCGTAAGTCACTATTTAAGAAACCGTGTTATAGGCTTGCCTACAGTCTGTTCTAATGGAGGCATTTTCTAAAAGAAATCGTGCCTTTTAAGTAAATAATGGCACAGGTTTTTTTTCCCATTTGGAAACAAAGTTAGGTCTTGTTCCAAGCACAAAGAATAATTTCCAGATGGAGTGAAGAGTTAATACACTAGATAAAATTGTACATGTATAATGATATCAGAGGGTCAGCTCGTAAACCGAGTTATGGACTCCCCAGCCCCTGTGCTAGGCAATGCAGTGGTGTGGTAAGCCCATGAGCGAGGACGACTTGTTTTTAGTAGAGTCAAGGAAATATAAATAAAACAGTTCCCCTTTGCCATATACCTCCCATCTCAACGCAAGTTTTGGCAAGGATGCGGGCGCATGCATTTTCACCAAGTGAATTATAGTTTTAAGTATGATATTCTTCCATTGAGTGATTGCATATCCAGATGTTTATCGCAGAGAAATACATAGGGACATGAGCACCAAGAGGCATTTACTGGAAGTGCCATTGTTATTCTGTCAGAAGCTGCTCAGCAGTGTGTGAGTCCACCGTAGAAGGGCTTTGGCTTTGGGAAGCAGGTTAGTGGACCTTGAGCATGCAGTGGGCAATTTAGTGTAATTTAGAGATTTGGGGGTTTGTAAGAAGGACTGTCTTTTCCAAGTGTGTAATTTTATTACTTCATATCGTCATCTATTTTCTAAAAGCCCTGTGGTATACAAGGATTACCTGATATAATTACACAGCTCGTGGCGATTGTCTAAGAGAAGCTGCAGTTAAACAAAAGCCCTAGGAAACAATGACTGGAACGGGGGTTTTGTTCAGTGCTCATGATGAGGCCAGAGAAGAGGAAGGTCAGATTGATGGTGTACACATGCTGTCCTGATAGATCAATGTCAAGATCAGTGTGGCGTGCTGCTTGCTGCCTACATGTTTTTTGTATTTGCAAATAATTATGTCTAAGATATTAAGACGCCTGAACCCAGGGCCTTATTTATACTATGCATGAGTTTTTTTTGGGGGGGGGAAGACAGAGTAGCATATGTGTGTGTGTACATGTGTGTGCGCACTTAAAATGCAACCCCAATAAATGTTTTCTTTTTATCTATACTCATGTATAAGAGACCAAGTAAAATATCCTCACAAGGCTTTGCAACACAGATTTAGCAGCTTTAATCTATGGATTTAGGCTTAAAAAATAAAATCTTGGGCTATTATTTTAATTTTATAGGTTTTCTGTTCTATATACTTGTAAGAGTACTGGTGATTATGGAAATCATTTTTTAAATGAAAGAATTATGGGAATTGTAGCCACCATGATGCTTAACGAATTTATTCAATGTTATTTACATAGAAGGTTATCTTTATTTAAGGAAGTATTTTGGAACTGGACAACTGGTGAACTGGATCCTCCAGAGGACACAGGTTCAATTCCCAGAACCTAGGGAGTGGCTTACAGCTCTCTATAGTTCCAGTTACAGGAGATCTGATGCCCCCTCTTTATGTCTGTGGGCAATGGGCACATACAGGAAGCATGGGCAAGCATGCGGAAAAACCACTATACACAGAAAATTGAAAAACAAAGAAACATTTTATCCTGGAGAGAATTTGTAATCCCACAAGGGAAGGGGCTTATATTAACTTGATACTCCTAAAGTTTAAGGTGATTTTTCTAAGACTGTTTCTTTAATATGCTGTAATTTATAGCTCAGCTATCTCTGTAGCTGAGGCAAAACCTAGAGAGAATAGTGTGGTCTCGTGCTAAGCTCCTGTGAGGGCTGCTCCTAAAAGATGAGAATTTGATTTTGTCCCGTGGAGGAAGACACGACACCTTGTTAAAAAGCAATCTGTGGCTTGTTTTGCAGAAGTCTACAAAAGGTTCCGTTGTCCTTGACCATGTTTTCCGGCACATAAACCTCGTGGAGATAGATTATTTTGGGCTGCGATACTGTGACAGAAGCCATCAGACAGTGAGTACAATGACTTCATGTTACATGTGCGCTCCCTCCCTCCCTTCCTCCCTCCCTCCCTCCCTCCCTCCCCCCCCTCTCTCTCTCCCTCTCTCCCCTTTCTCTCCCTCTCTCTCACACACACCTTTCTGGGTGTGATTTTAGGCAGTTAGCTTCTTTGGAACTGAAAATGACTTTGGAAACTTCACTCTCATTTTCCCATGATAATTTCTCTGTACTTTTTCCTTCTCACAAAGCCTGTAAGGTTGCTGGCTTCACCACTTCTTTTCATGAAAGCCATTTTTGCCACCGTCTTGTAGGAGGGCTTTCTGGGTGCTGCTGTTCTCTCTCACAGTGGTGGGAGGAGTCTCTGGAAGGGACATTTCTGCCTTTTATGAGAGGAAACGCAAAGAGAGAACGTGTGTGTCTCCCGCCTCCTGGTGAAGTTTTGAGAGTGGCTGTGGTTGTAATGAAGGAAAGTCAGGAGGTTTCTGTTCTTCAGCCTGGGGGTGAGCACAGTAGAGATAGTCTGCCTTTTCCTTCTGATGTCTGCTGTCACAGGTTAGCCCGGGTTACCATCCTGTCTGCCCAGAGGGTAGAGTCGCTGTGATGTTTGCCACACTGGGAAGACTTTGGAGGTGATAGACTTTGAAGGATGAAAGGATATTTGTTGATTTAGTCTAAGAAAGATTTTAACTTCCGATAGATAAGAGCCTTACGCAGAATGCTTGGAGGCTTATCTTAGAAATGCCCCGACTGGCCGTTTATTTCCTGTCCTGCACAGCCTTGTTGAAATGAAGAGCTCTGCCTCCCCTTTCAGGTCTGCTGGCTCTCCGGTATTTGGGGAATGAAGTCAGTACAGAGCATGGTCCTAGAGATTCCCTGGGGTGAGAAGAAGCAGGGAACGAGGTGCTGCTGAGGGTGAAGGATGCTGAGCGTTTGGTGTGTTTGTGGCTGGCTTCCCCGTCTGTTCTGTTTCTCAGGAGGGTTTCATAGAATCAAGGTAAACATTGGGGTGTCGGGTAGATCTTCATAGAAAGAACTGCATTCTGCTAGGCAAGTGGGCGTTACTGCGTGTTATATACAAGCATAGTCGGAGATTCACTGGCTTCTGTCCCATATAGGCCACAGGTCACTGTAGTGGAAGTGGAAACCTGTGCAGAATGGTAAACTGAGGCTTTGGCGGCTTCCCCAGATTGCATTCATATTTTATTAGCAATACATTGTTCTAACAGAGACAAACTCAGTTTTCTGATGGATGCCAGACTTTGCCCGGAAAGACTGGCTGCCTTGCTGAAATTACACAGACCTTATCTTCTTTGAAGGTGATTCAGTGACAAGTGCCCTCATGTGAGAGAGGAAGGCTGGAGAGCAAGGAGAAGATGTTACGATGGAAACAGGTTGGAGTGGTGCATTACTAGAAGAGGTCCTTGAGCTAGGGAACGCGGTGGCTTCCAAAAGCTGGCGAGGAGGCAAGGAAGTGGCTGCCCCCCGAGAGAGCCTCCAGGAGGAGTTCAGCCTGCATGCATTTTTATTTTATCCTAGTAAAATTCATTTTGGACTTACAGCCTCCAGAGTGATAAGGTAATACCTTTCTGTTGTTTTAAGCCATCAAGACTATAGCGGTTTGTTACAGCAGCAGAAAGCAAGTCTCGTGGATATACGGAGGAGAATTTCCTTCTTGCTTGCTCAGGAGAACTGTAAGACTTTGTAGCGTAGATTTTTCACGTCAGGCAGAAGCCTGCAGCACTGCTAAGCCCCCTGTGTAGTGAGAGCTCTGGCAGATGAGCAGGGCCCCTTTGTGACTCTAGCTGCGCGAGTGTCCCTGGTGCGTGTGAGCAATGTTGCTGCTTCAGCAGCACTTGGGTTCCTTGCTGTGGAGAGGGATAGCGAGCTCTGTTGGCCACAGGCACAGTGTTAGAGTTGTAGCACGGTCTTCTTCACTTAAGCATTAAGAATTTGAAAATAATCAGAGCTTGAAAGGAACTAGGCCAGTTTTTAGGGGTTCCAGAGACTCCTGCAAATGGAGAGTGATGTGGTAGAACAGACATCTGTTGTCGGGCTTACAGATACAGTCCCGTGTCTCTTCCTAATAGATGGTCGAGTTTCTTAGTTCAGTTAACTCTCTCAGAGATCCGCCTGCCTCTGTCTCCCTAAGTGCTGGGATTAAGGTGTGTACCACCATGCCCTGCTCATTTAACTCTTAATATCTCTACTTTCTGTTTTGTTTTACTGTCATGAGATACCCAAACCTGGGTAATGAATAAGGAAGAATTATATTTAGCCTACAGTTTGGAAGTTCAAAGGCATGATGGTGGCTTCATCTGGTGAGGACCTCATGGAAGATGGCATAAAGTAGCAGGGCTGCATCTGTGAGAGGGAGAAGTGAGAGAGACAAGGAGAAGCCTTGCCTTTCTCATCTATGACAGCTTTCTCTAAAGAGCTAACCAAGGTCTCAGGGGAACTACAGCCCTTCCCCCACCCCGGGTAACTCCTTCAGTAATCTAACTGTTCACCACCGTTAAAGGTTCTGTGTCACCTCCAAATACTGCCACACCAAGCAACAAGGTGTGCTCTTGGATGGTAGTTAATTCTGTCCAAACCATAGTGGGAGCCTGCTCTGTACTGAAAATTAAATGCCTTTCCCTCAACCCTCTCCAGTGTCAAGGGACCAAGGCAGATTTCCGTGAAGGACTGCTATAGGTTAGGAGACATTGAACATACAATTGGCCTTTTCTCTGGAAACGAGGGTGAGAGAAAGCTGCGCTCATTCTCTTTCATAGCGTAGGAAGAAGAACACGGTCTGTAGGGAAGGAGAGAGCAAACAAGGTCTAGATTCTTAACTATCCCTGGGAAAACGTAAAGACCAGTATGATGACATCGAAACCATCGTAAGGATAACTGCGATGCCCAGTGCCACTCCTGGCTGCACAGCAGTGCTTTGAACTGTGCTCTCAGTGAGACACTGAGGCCCCTTGACTAATTTCTCTCTCAGAGGCAGAAGTCATAGGTGCTCGGAACTTTTCTCATAGAATTGGAGCTGGCTCTGAGAATCATGCTTCTAGACCTGCCGTCCTCTGCCTCTAGAAAGGGAACGGTCAGACTCGAAGGTAACAGTGGCACATGGGTGTCTTCCTTCAGTGAGCTGTTCCCTGGCGTCACCAAAACAGTAAAGACAATCGGAAATAACTTCCTGGGTCACTCCATTCCCAAACACCATCTTTTCCTCTCCTGTCACAGGGAGGAGTGTCAGTGCCCCTGTCCTGAATCTTCTGGCCTCTCCCTTCTTCTGTGATAGCTCTAGCTCCCTTTCCTGCCCCTCTTCTCCATTTCCTGGCAGTGGTGGGTTATGCCCAAACATCTCTAATGTAGAAGCCACTTCTGAGATCTCATGTGTTCCTTAACTTCTCACAGTTAAACTTAACATAGCTATTTTTTTTTTTTTTGGTTAAATCTTTTGCTCTGAAGCTGCCAGAGAGCGTTCTTAGCCTTACAAAGAACCACGCCTTTCTGCTTCATTGGCCACAGTGACTTATTCTTTCTTGAAATCTCATTGTGTTGTAATGAGAGCACAGATTCCTTGTTTTTCTCTTTTCAGACTTTCTTTTGATGATTCTTATGGTCCCTCTTCCTTTTTCTGTTCCATGAAGCATTGAGTTTGTCTTTCTTGTTTTGGTTTTTTTTTTGAGGGGGGGTGGTTACTTGTTTTATATGTGGGCCTTATGTGTAACAGGCAAGTACTCTACCACTGAATTATATCCTCAGCCCCAAATGTTGCCACTCGTCAGGATTTTATCCTCGATTCCCCATGTCCTAATGCTGCAGAGGCTCATGCATGCAATGCCACCTCCAGACGTTCTAGTGTTGAATGTGATCTTGTCCACTCAGTGCACTCTGCCCTGAGTAATGGCACTACGCTCTGTGTTGCATCCGGATTATGTATTTTACAGTGTGTGTGAGCTTTCACCTGCTGTATATTTTGGAAAATCCCTATAAGGACTGATAATATTGGGAAGGAAAGAAGATTGTCACACTTGCTACACATGGACTTTCCTGCTCGGGGCATCTTTTGGAACTGGTAGGGGAACAGAGGGCAAGGATGTAGTAGGAAAGTCTCTTCAGGGATCCCTCTGACTTTGTGAGGAGCAGCGTATAAGCCGGGTTGTGGCTTGGGAAGAGTGATGTCAGCAGATAAAGGGTGCCTGGGAAAGAAGCCACGGGAAGACTACGTTTCCCTTTAAGGGAATGAGAGGACCATCCTCATAGGGCTGAGCAGTGCTCATTTCCCCAAGGATAAATATGTGTTCTTCCTGGGTAGTGCGTCTGTTCCAGAAACACGTTATTGTCTAAAGACAGGTGATCCCTTCCCCTAATTAGTGTCTCGAGCTCAGGTATCCCCAGAGATATCATCATGTGAAAAGACTGTTGAAGGTCGGGGCTGTCTGGCTTTAAACTGCACTCTGCTCCCGAGAGAGCTGTGCTGCGTTGGTGACACTCCCTCACTTCTGCTTCTTTTCTTCCTTTGTATAGTGGTGTACTGATAGTACTGGATCCCTGGGGTGGCAATGATCACTGAGGGCATCTCTCTGAGTGCCGAGGCTGGTGGTTAAATTGTTAGCCCTTCTTATTCATTGCCTGGATGGCCTTCAGGCACCCAGTGTGCCTTCAAAACTAGACACGCCTCATCGTCCCCCTGAGGTCTTTGTTCTTTCTTGATTCTGAAGGCAGTGATTTTTTTTTTCAACTACTTAAAAAAAATCACATACCTGTGCAGATGCAAATCTTGGTTTGCTATAAATATTGACATTGTCAAGTCTGTCAAATCGCTCTTAATGGAATCAGTGAATTTATATTTAATAATTGCATTGTACTTTTTCTTCTCTCTTTAAAAAAGAATATAAAAACATTTATTATAAGCCAGATTTTTAGCTCATACATCTTTACTTGCAGGTGTCAAAGAGTCAAAGGTTCAAGGGCTCTGGCTTCTGCTACACTATCATATCAATACTAAAGCCTCACTG